AATTTAATCAGAAAGGATACTCAGTATCAAACACGATTCTCATGCAGTTTATGGAAGAGCCATTTTCATCTGTACCATGGTTGTGTCTCATGACATGTTCATGAAGGTTTTGAGCRTCTGTAACATACTTGTCACTGTAATTAAATTATATTAAAACCAAATAATATATTACTACTAACAGTGGAATCCCAATTTTTCAAACTCTCAATATGCAAACCTCCCAATTCAAAGCACTTTTTTGCTCCTCTGGCAAAAACATTAGGAGAAATTTACTCTAAGTTTTTCAAACCAGTTTCTGCTCCTCAGATATTTCAAAGGGCACAAAGGTATTAGTTGTTAAAGAAACTATTGGGCTCCAAAAGTAGGTGACTGGGATCGTGTGTACTAAAGGCATCTGTGGTTGAGTGTCGATAAATACCCTTGATTGACCCGCAATCGACATCTCAATCAACACTCGATCAGCATCCCAATCGATACCTGGTCAACACTTGATCTACACTCGATCGACATCTCAACTGACACTTGATCAACACTTGATCAACAGTTGGTTGATAGTTGGCCAAGTGTTGACTGACTCACATGTATCGATCAAGAATTAGTCAATTCTCAAAGGACTGTCGTTCAAGATGTTGATGGAGTGTCGATTGAGTGTCAACCGAGGTGTCAATGGAGTGTTGATCGAGTATCAATAGAGTGTCAATCGAGGGCATTGATCAACACTCGTCATGATCCGGCAAGTGAAACACTGAGCTATTTAATGTCAACTTGAAAGTAATACATAGACAAGTAAAAACAAACGATATAATCTCCCGATGTTTCGGCAACCTCATGACGCCATTATCAAGGGTACAAATGAGAATTAAATTAACAAATGCAAGTTCAAGAGTTATAATTTACATAGCGGAGGTGGCTACACAAATACTTTAGCATGGATAGAATCCATTTGCATGTTCAAACTTGATGTTAATTGTTTTATGTAAAGAATCTCGTTGAGAAGACAATCAAATTTGTTCATGCATTTCTTGAGAACTTTGAAACAGCTGAGAAGGTCCTCAGGGACAGCACCTGCGTGGTCGTTGTCATAGTGCTTGCATACTGAAGATGACGTGCTTTTATGGCCATCCAAACGGATTCTATCCGTGATAAAGTATTTGTGTAGCCACCTCCGCTATGTAAATTAGTTATAACTCTTGAACTCACATTTGTTAATTTAATTGTCATTTGTACCCTTGACAATGGCGTCATGAGGTCGCCGAAACGTCGGGAGATTATATCGTCTGTTTTTACTTGTCTTGTTAATACGAACTTGAAAGTAACAAGGGTAAGTTAACCCCTGTAGCAAGTTAGTGGCTGGCATTTTGCACCTTAGCCCTTCACCAGAGCAGAGTGACATTTTGTTCTGACGGAGGGCTAAGGCTCAAAACATCAGCTTCACTAACTTGTTGCTGCGGTTAATGTACCGTTATCAACTTCAAGTTGATAGATATCTTAATATTAAATTTTTAAAAGCATCATACCTGTCAATTTTTTCGTAAAGATATTGATGAGTCAAACCAATTGCTGCCCACCATAACAAATCATTGCTATCTTTGCTCATTTTCCAGGCCAACTCATACATTATCAAAGATGCCTGAAACACAGTGAGGAAGATGTTTCATTACAATACCTACCCATCATTACACTTAAAACAAAAGT